TATGGAAAAAGGGGTAAGGCCCTAGGATTGGCAGAGACAGCATAGTTCCCTTTGTAAAAGGAAAAGGGGGGCAAAAGAGAGTGAAAAAAATTATAGGGGGTAAGTCTGTTGATGTACCTGGTAAAGTGATGGTGAGTTATTATTGAAGATTAAGAGTAAGACAAAAAATAGGATACAATGAAAAAGGAGGTTTTAGGAAAGGTAGGGGGTGTGTGGACCAGGTTTACAGGAAACATATAATGAACGTATTTAGATAAGACTAAAGAGGTTTTTTGGGGCATTTATGGATTGGAAAAAGGCTATAACAGTTTTTAGATAAAGGGTGGGGAAAGTTTTTTTTGCATTTATGGTTTTAAAGAAAAGGCATATGAAGAGTGGATAGAGGAGCAATGTGGCAGATGTTGCAAGATAGGAATAGGTGGAATTTTACAAAATGCTGTAAAGAGTTTTATGGGAAGTGAGGCTCGGGTTAGGGTTGTAGAAGAGAGGGAAAACTTCCCTAAAAGTAGGTCTTAGACAGGATGTGAAATGCCCCATGGTTTTTAATAATTTATAGTTTGGGGGTTGTAAAAAAAGTAAATGCTGGGGTGTTCGGGAGGGGTTGGGGATTAAATTTTGGGGGAATCAAATTTTTCAAAAGGGGAATTGACACATTATTTTTTCTGATATACTGTGCTTAGGGGAGATTTCTAAAGAAAAATTGAAAGGTTAGGGATGATTTGAGAATGTGTGTAAAGGTAGAAAGTTGAAAGTAACATAGAAAAAGTAAGGTGATAGGTATAAAATGTTTTGATAAAAAAAATTGAATATAAAATTTGGGGGAGGAGGATATGGAAGAAGTGAATGTTTTAAAATATTTGGGGAGTTGACGGTGGTGGAGGATTTATGAAGATGAGTTAATCATAGAATTGATGGGGAAAAAAAGGGGAGGGGGGGCATTGAGGGATTGTGGATCAAAAAAAAGTTATCGGGGGCAAAGAAGGGAAATTTTGAAAATATAGTAGTACCAACACTCGAAAAGGAGTGAAACTTGGGGGGTAAATGCAGCGCGAGGGGGGGGCGGTTGGGGGCAGTGGAGATGCCGTCTAAGGGCAATGGGGTTAAATATTTTGCAGAAAATTCGGAGTGTGGAAAAATTTGGAAAGGGGTGGAGTTTAAAAAAAAAGCATTAGTCAGAGGGGCAGAAAAGGGGTTGTTGAGGTGGTTTGGTCATTTTGAGAGAATGGGTCAAAGAGAATGACATGGAAACTTAAATCTATAGGGGGAAAAAAAGAGGGGGAGGGGTCGTCCTCGAAAGGGTTGGAAAGAGGGGGGTAAAGGAGGTTTTGTGGGCGAGGGGGTTTGGGCTTCCAGAAGCGTGATGACAGTTAGATAAGTGAAAGGAGCGAATAAAAATTGGGACCTGACATCGTTGGAGTGTAGCAGGGGGAATATTTTTGTGAAGGGATTCAGGGAAACCGGTTATTTTCTATAGTCGGACTTTTAGTCCTGGAAATGGGGGGTACAAGCCTGCACTTTTAAAAGGAGGGGTTTGGGGTATTTGGCAGTTTGGAGGGATATTTGTGTATCTTTAGTATATCTTCAAACTGTTGATATGAGCACCTCTGCAAAAGCAGTGAAAATGTGTGATGTGGTAAAAGTGTTGAATGATGATGAAAGATTTTTTTTTTGGGGTTTTTCTTTTTTTTTTTGGGTCACCCTGCCTCGGGGGGAGATGGCCGACTTGTTGAAAAAAAAAAAAAAGTTGACAGGGTGGATGGGGGGGCAATGTGGCAGATGTTGCAGGTGTATGGTGTAGGAGGTAGGTTACTGAAAGCAGTGAAGAGTTTTATGAGGATAGTGAGGCTCAAGTTTAGAGTATGTAGGAAAGAGGGAAATTATTTCCCAGTAAAAGTAGGCCTTAGACAAGGAGTGTGATGTCACCGTGGTTGTTTAAACATTAATAGATGGGGTTGTAAGAGAAGTAAATGCGGGTCTTGTAAAGAGGCGTGGAGTTAAAAGATAAAGAATCACACATAAAGTGGGAGTTGTCACAGTTGCTCTTTGCTGATGACACCGTGCTCTTGGGAGATTCTGAAGAGAAGTTGCAGAGATTGGTGGATAAATTTGGTAGGGTGTGCAAAAGAAGAAAATTAAAAGTGAATACAGGAAAGAGTAAGGTTATGAGGATAACAAAAAGATTAGGTGATGAAAGATTGGATATCAGATTGGAGGGAGAGAGTATGGAGGAGGTGAATGTATTCAGATATTTGGGAGTGGACGTGTCAGCGGATGGGTCTATGAAAGATGAGGTGAATTCAATTCAATTCAAAGTTTATTCTCTATAAAGATTACAATGTTGAATTTACAGAATTTGGTTGTTGTGTGGTTTACATTATTTTTTTTTTTATTATCACACTGGCCGATTCCCACCAAGGCAGGGTGGCCCGAAAAAGAAAAACTTTCACCATCATTCACTCCATCACTGTCTTGCCAGAAGGGTGCTTTACACTACAGTTTTTAAACTGCAACATTTACACCCCTCCTTCAGAGTGCAGGCACTGTACTTCCCATCTCCAGGACTCAAGTCCGGCCTGCCGGTTTCCCTGAACCCCTTCATGTGGTTTACATGTAGTTAAATAATGATTACAGAGTGTACCACTAGAACGCCTAGCATGGCTAGGCATTTCGGGCAGACTTAGTTTAAATTTTTTTTTTAAATATTACAAATTTGAGGTAAGTTGGTATTATGGCTAAGTGACTAAATACTAGTTTGTGAGTTTAGCAATGTGAATGCTTTTGTTTTGGCACAGTACATAGTTTCAGTATTGGAGTATCATAGGATTCATTATTTTAAGATTGAGATTAATATTTCTGTTTATGGTCAAATGGGTGAGTGAGTGTAAGTGTGAACCACCAGGTGGTATTCGTGTAGTTAGTTGATGGGGTTTATCAGGGAGATAAGATGTTTTCTAATGGTAGTTTTGAAGGTGATGAATGTGTCTGCAGTTCTAGAGTTCTCAGGTAGGGTGTTCCAGATTTTAGGGCCTTTGACATACATTGAATTTTTATAAAGGTTCAGTCGGACATGGGGAATGTCGTAGAGATGTTTGTGTCTGGTGTTATGCCTGTGGGTTCTGTCACAACTATCAAGAAAGCTCTTGGGTATCTTTATTGCATTCTCTGATCCTGTGTCTGCCTCTTAACTTGCCACTCTTTAGATTCACTCCCTCTTAAACTCGTGGGCTGTATCATGTGCATGTGTCATACATACGTGCAGGTGAACATAAACGTGTACAGTTACCTATTTTGTAATTCTCCTTGTAGAGTTAAAACTAATATGTTCTGACCAGTTTTAAATATACTGTACCTACTATTGTATATAATGTACTGTATGTTATGTTATATACTGTAATTAGTTATAAAAAAAGAGTAAAAAAAAAATCATATCAAAACTATGGTTGGAACAACTGACAGATAACTTGCACTTAGGAAAGGAAACTCATGATGTTTCAGTCCATCCTGCACCATTATCAAGTCACAGCAGACAAAAACATAATTGATTACATTTTTTCATATCTTCAGTTTCTTTGTATAATTTAATTCTTCCCTCTATTTCAGGGTGGAGCCTGTTCAGCTAACATTCATGGTAGTTGGAGCAGGCATGGGTGGTCTAGGATTAATGATCCTGTTTGTAGGATGCCTCTCTACTGGGGACACTAGAAACAAGGTCTACAGAACATGGCGAGGAAGAGTTGGTGGCAGGATTTCATGTGCAATTGTAAGTACTGTGCAAAGGAACTGTGATAAAAAAAATAATGAAATTTTGTTTTTTGTATTACTGATGATGAGATTACATCCATAGGGGTGGACACTAAACCCATAGGGATCATACAGCACCTTGAGGAAACAGATTTGATTCAAGGAAGGGTAATATAGCTCCAAATCTTTGAATAAAAATTTCTTCACTGGCATCAAAGCACTATACTCTTGAAAGTTTTAGTTACACAGTATTGACAGTAGTGTAATTTTTTTAAGAAACTTAAGAGGGAGTAAATCATTATTTTCTGGTAATATCTCAAGACTTCTTTGTTAATTATTAATACATTACAACCGTATATTCTGAGACTGCCACAAAATGTGCTAATGAGTAATACAGATTTTTTTTTGTAAGCTATAGAAATACTGAACTAGTTATATATTTCTGGTATAGTGAATGAATATAGTTACAGAAATTGTATTAACTACAATAGTAACAAATTATAAACCAGTTAGATACTAGGCTTAACTGACCAGTTTTTACAAAGTAAAATTTTTATATTATTAAAACTTAAGAAAATTAATTTTATGTATGTCTCACTTTATTTGGTATGCATTATTGTCAATGCGTGCCGTATGACCCTTTTTGGTTTAGCACTTCCCTTGATTATATTATTATCAGCAACACACTATAGTGGCTGCACATATCATGACATACATTCTCTTCCTCTGCTTAACTTTTGTTATTTCTATTTTCTTCCTCAAATACATTCTTTTTCTTTTGCCACTGTCAGCCTAGTATTAGCTCAAGTCTTCAGTATGTGCTATCTCGTACTAACACTACACCCACTTCATTAGACTGCCTGAAGTCTGTAAGTCATTCTGTTGATTTGGATTCATATTTTACATGCCATTTTTTCTTGCCATTAATTTCCATTGATGATCACTCTCCATAACCTTATTCTTCTACCATAGCTTGCCTTTTTATATTTAACTGTATTGGGCTGCTCTCCTATATTTGCACTGAATACACACACCTCCCATATTTCCATTGAATTTTCATTTCTTTTATACAAGCCCCACATCTGTCAGATACTCTACAATGGGATGTTTCAAAATATACTTTCATCCCTTTGAATTATTCAGGTCAATTTTTTCCTGTATGAGTTTCCCCAGTCATCATTTTGTGTAGTTTTCAAAACCTACTCATGTATTCTATGTGTAATAATCACTAAATGCACTCTATATATATATATATATATATATATATATATATATATATATATATATATATATATAATATATATATATATATATATATATATATATATATATAACTGAACAATACCACATCTATTTATTTGTGACTCCATATAATGCAATATCCTCCATTATTATTTGTGTTGCTCCTATTGACATCAGTAATTTTTTTAAGCAGAACATTGAAATTCATATGTTCTCCATTTTACTAGTTTATGGGCATCACATACCTGCTGTCACTGGCATGGCTGTTGATGTTTGCTGCACTCATCATTGTGACACTCTTCTACACACTTGCGTGGTTCCAATGTCAACACATCCCTCAGAATGAATGTATAGAATACAACCAGTTTAGTAAGTATTTAATTTCATTGTTAACCTTAATGCAGTGTTTTGTGTTGTGAGATGGAGATTACCTCTTTGTAGCTACAGTGGTTGTATCACTTCATTGGATGTAGCACTTGCCTACCTTCTCTTGTATCACATTTCTTTATTCAACACTGAATAACAGTATCCTTCTGGCATGTCTCAGTTTACAAGTGTGGCCTCTTGTTAGTGCTAAGAAATATTTATCTATTTCATATCCATTTATTACCTTATACGTGGTTTTCTTCTTTCATCTTTTTATTATGAGGACATTTTTGGCGTTTCCATCCTTTCCTAATAACTTGCATAATTTCTCATGTGCAAACAGCACACCACTGTTGCATACTCCAATTTTAACCTCGCATTTTTATAATTTTTTCCTTTTATATCTGAAGATGATTGTAAAGTTTGCCAGTGAAGCAGACAAGTTTCTCACAATTTCATTTATAGTACTGTACTACATATATCAAAATTTCGTTTATACTACTATACTGTATATGGCCTGTTGGTGACAATCTTTTGTCAGTTGTGATGCTTAGGTTGTTTTCATTAATGTCTTTTACTGAAGTATTTCTTACACATTAGAGTTTTTATGATGCCTGTTTTCACTATCTCCCATTTTTGAACATTAAAATGGTATGAAATACCGACAGATTGTTAGGTAAGACACATATGCAACAGTTAGGTATCTTTATTTCGAAACGTTTCGCCTACACAGTAGGCTTCTTCAGTCGAGTACAGAAAGGTTGATAGAAGCAGAAGATACTTGAAGACGATGTAATCAGTCCATCACCCTTAAAGTTTTGAGGTGGTCAGTCCCTCAGTCTGGAGAAGAGCATTGTTCCGTTGTCTGAAACAATATGAAGTTGAAGTGACAGAATGGGGCCTTTGTATAGTGCCAGGAGGTGAGACGTAGGTTGCTTTGGGAGGGCAGGTCCTTCTCAAACCCAAACCGTTCTACTAGTAGAGGTTGTCGAAGTGGTCTGTACCAGATACCCTTGTGTTGCAGTGTCTGACAGAAATGAACATTAAAATGGTATGAAATACCGACAGATTGTTAGGTAAGACACATATGCAACATTTTAGGTATCTTATTTTTGAAACGTTTCGCCTACACAGTAGGCTTCTTCAGTCGAGTACAGAAGGTTGATAGAAGCAGAAGATACTTGAAGACGATGTAATCAGTCCATCACCCTTAAAGTTTTGAGGTGGTCAGTCCTCAGTCTGGAGAAGAGCATTGTTCCGTTTCTGAAACAATATGAAGTTGAAGTGACAGAATGGGGCCTTTATATAGTGCCAGGAGGTGAGACGTAGGTTGTTTGGGAGGGCGGGTCCTTCTCAAACCCAGCCGTTCTCACTATTTAGAGGTTGTCGAAGGGGTCTGTACCAAGATACCTTGTTGCGTGTCTGACAGAATGAACATTAAAATGGTATGAAATACCATATGCAACCTAACTGTTGCATATGTGTCTTAACTAACAATCTGTCGGTTTTTCATACCATTTTAATGTTCATTCTGTCGGGACATTTGCAAACACAAGGGTATCTTGGTACAGACCACTTCGAAAACCTCTACTAGTGAGAACGGCTGGGTTTGAGAAGGACCTGCCCTCCCAAAGCAACCTACGTCTCACCTCCTGGCACTATATAAAGGCCCCATTCTGTCACTTCAACTTCATATTGTTTCAGACAACGGAACAATGCTCTTCTCCAGACTGAGGGACTGACCACCTCAAAACTTTAAGGGTGATGGACTGATTACATCGTCTTCAAGTATCTTCTGCTTCTATCAACCTTTCTGTACTCGACTGAAGAAGCCTACTGTGTAGGCGAAACGTTTCGAAATAAAGATACCTAACTGTTGCATATGTGTCTTACCTAACATCTCCCATTTTTATTAGTAGACAGAACTTAGGCACATGAAATTCTGTCAATTATCTACCATACCACTTTCCCAACCTATACAGATCTTCTCAGTGATAATTTTTGACTTGCATAGGATTTTTATAGTATTGGTAAACATGGTTATGTTTTTTATTCATTCTGGGAATCTGCTAACACAATTATCAAGGCAGCTCTGATCCACGTGGCACCTCACTGGTGATATTATTCCATGAAGATTTTTTTCTTTATACCATATCACGCTCATGCTTGCATTTTCCTTTCAAACAGAAATCTCATATTCACTTTAATAGCTTGCATTTTATTCCTGTTAGGGATGGGATGCCAAAATGTTTACTGATATTCAGTTTTAGGCCAATGCTGATACCAATACCATCAAAATTAGACAATACCCACCGATACTGATACAGATACCATCAAAATTTCAATACCCACCAATTCCAATACTCAATTTTAGATTAATACCTATACCATCAAAATTAGCAGATACAATCAATATGGATACTTTGGCACACCCCCAATTCCTAAGTTTTGTAGTTTCCAGAGTTGTACTGTAATCTTTGAGACTATCAAAACCTTTCTTAACCCTTTCAGGGTCCGTGCCGTAGATCTACAGCTGTACATTCAGGGTCCAAACTGTAAATCTACGCCAAAATTCTAGCGGCGTCAAATTTAGCGCGAAAATGCTGGTGGGCCTACATGTGAGAGAACGGGTCTGCGTGGTGTGTGTGCTCTGTAAACAAAAATTCTAGGCGCCCGCATAGCATTGTGGGAACGCCGGCTCAGTTACCTTTGTTCACCATGCCTCGTCGCAAGGCAGCTCCCACTCCAAAGAAAATTGGGACTCTCCTCTTCCTATCTGATAGTTCTGACTCTGATGGAAGTGGAAATGAAGATGAATTCTTTGGCTTTGATCAGTTAGTGACTGAAAGGAATGACCAGGATATCGATAATAGTGCAGAAAACCCTGACGATCCTCAACCTTATACTTCTGGTGTGGGCACTCCTCAGTCACGGTCAGTTGTACCTCATCGCAAGAGAAAGCTATTATTTTCGCGTGGCCAGGCCTCTGACATCAGTAATGATGATGATAGTGGCGTGGATTATGATTTTATTGCTCTTGACGATCATTCGAGTAGCAATAGTGAGGAAACATATTCACCAGTGAAGCGTCGGTATATACGCCGCTTCATGCACTCGGGTAGTGTTCCCTATGCAGTGCCCAGGGGACGGAGTACATCCTGTGGCCCTACACCAGGAATTGATAGTGAAAGTGAGGATGATGTGGCTACACTTGGCATGGATAGACCACAGGCATCAGTAGGTGGTGGTAGTGGTGATGGTAGTGCCACGGCCATGCATGACTCGCCAGCCCAGGCTGGGACCCACGCTGCTGACTCCTCAGTTCAAGGACAAAGTAGAGCGTCAGCCACCAGCCCACCACAACCATAACTACCAGCACAACCAGCCTATGATGTCCAGTATCCACCAGCAAACCATATCTGGGATTGGCAGCAAAATACCAATTTTGTTCCCAAGCCCCACCACTTTGATGACTCTCAAAGTGGAATTCTACCTACTTGTCCCCTTGGAACCACTGCCAATGAAATGGAATTTTTTGAACTACTACTTGAACAGCCCTTGATGGAAACTATTGTCAGGGAAAGTAACAAGTATTTTGAGTACACCATGGCAAATACGATGATATCACCACAGTCAAGACTACACCAGTGGAAAGAGACGACGGTTACAGAAATGTATTTGCTTTTTGCAACAATAATGCTTATACCTCATGTCTATAAGCATAATATAAAAGCATACTGTTCCACAGATAGGCTAATTTCTACCCTGGTCTTCAGTGAAATCATCCCAGTGAGCAGGTTTATCTTACTGTTATATATGTTGCACTTCTCTGACAAAACCAGGTCTGACAGAAGTGACAGGTTATACAAGATTAGAAATGTTTTTATGTATCTGAAAGAAAAGTTCAACATGTACTTTTATCCATTCGAGAATCTTGTACTTGACGAAACTTTGATTTTGTTCTAAGGTAAACTGTCATTCAAACAGTATATACCGAGCAAGAGGAAATGCTCTGGTATAAAACTGTTTGTACTCTGTGACTGTGACAGTGGCCTGGTATTGGATATTGTTGTATACACGGGAAGTAAAACATTGAAAGATACTAGGATGTTATTGGGGGTCTCAGGTGACGTAGTGAGAAGCATGAATGGCACCTTATCTTGGTAAGGGGCATACATTATATACCGATAACTGGTACACAAGCCCTTTACTCAGTGATTTCTTGTGAGTGAACAAGACAGATGTGTGTGGCACAGTGCGTTCTAATCGTAAACATATGCCCAGGTTCAACGCAGGCACTCGTGGTGATGAGGTGCAGGTGTTTACTGCCATTGACATCATGGCATGACAAACGAGATGTCACATTGTTGACAACCATTCACCGTAACGAAATGCAAGACAGTGTCAAAGCTGATAGAATGACTAATGAATATATTTGAAAACCAGTGACAGTGATTGATTATACACAAAACATGCACTTGGTTGACAAATGTGATATGCAGATTGGCTTTGTTGATTGTGTTCGTAAGAGTTACAAGTGGTATATGAAACTTTTCTTCCATCTCGTGGACATTTCAATGCTCAATGCATATATGTACCAAGTGAAGACTGGCAACAGACCACCGTATGGTGAATTTTGTTTGTCTGTTGTCAGACAACTTGTAATGAAATACCAGGTAACAACACCTGCTATACAAAACCGTCCTCAAACTCCTCAGGATATACCCAAGCGTTTGAGGAGGGAAGGTGATCACTTCATAATACAGCTTCCTGCAACTAAGAAGAAATTTGCTCAGAAGAGATGTGTTGTCTGTGCACAAACAAAACGATGGCAACAAGACGCAAAGACACTTGGTTTATGTGCGAGGAATGTAAGGTACCTCTGTGCATGGTGCCTTGTTTCAAGGAGTTCCACAAGCTGCAGCAGTTCTAAAAACATGTCTAGTGATTGTATATATGTAAATATATGATAGAACATTAGTATTATACGAGATTTGTGCATGTTTATTGTAATAAAGGTGGTAAACAATATTATGATAACTTTAGTGTGGTTATTGTGTTCAATACAGTGAGTTTATATATATATACATTATTGGTCTCTCAAGCCCCAAATGTTAGTAGGAAAAGAAAAAAAATTAGAAAAGAAAAAACTATAAAAAACGTAAAATAAAGTAATGCGTGTATGTGGAAATCGTCGATGTTGTCGCCACCCTGTCATTTTGGGTCAACTTCTCGGTACTGTATCTCTGTAAGTACTGATCAGAAATTTTTTGTTTTTTGTTTTATTACCTCACAAAAATATACTCTTTAATTCTGTAAGAAAAAAATATTTTTTTTTTCTTTCAAAATTTCTTGGGCACTGGGGGCACCCCTTCTGATTTTGGCCTTGGACCCTGAAAGGGTTAATATCCAAACACAGTACTGTACAGTACTTTACCCCTCAAGGAAGGTTCCTTGATGTTGGTGAGGGGCTCTTGATTTAGGGAATTGGATATGTGCTCCAGTTCCCCGAATTAAGCCTGAATGCCTTCCACATCCCCCCCCCAGGCGCTGTATAATCCTCCGGGTTTAGCACTTCCCCCTTGATTATAATAATAATGTACAGTACTTTAAATGAAATCCATCCATCCATTTCATACTTGTATAAAAGGAGGCTGCAGACAGACTTCAGGATTAGTCTATACAATTGTTACTGGAGTAGTTTGACCTTGGCAAAAAAAAAAAAAAAACATTCATGAAGCTGGGAGACTGGAAAAGGAGATGGACAATACCATTGAGGGCAAACAGAGGTGCTCAAGGAAACCGGAGAAGTAAATGACCTAGGAATGATAATTATCCCAAACCAGTTTCCTGAAGTACACATACAATAACATAAGTAACATAAGCTAAGCAATTAAGAGTGGTTTTCAGAAACTTGGACAAATAAGTATTCAAAACTCACTGTAATTGAGAATTTTAACCATTAGGAATGTTTTATAAATTTTCAGTGCTCTTTATAATTATACTCTAGAATGGGATACAATAATTACCAAATATCTATACACAAATAACCCGCACATAGAAGAGAGGAGCTTGCGACAACATTTCGGTCCGACTTGGACCATGACTTTGTAAATGGTCCAAGTCGGACCGAAACGTCGTCGTAAGCTCCTCTCTTCTATGTGCGGGTTATTTGTGTATTGTTCCAGTCACGGTATTGTGCCTTTTTTTTTATTATTTACCAAAAATCTAAATAGATACTGGTACTCTTTGAGTTTCGTACAGCTCCCAACTCGAACAATTATGTACATGTATTATTGTAAGTGTATTTTGGGAGTCTGAAATGGACTAATCTAATTCACCTTATTCCTTATGGGAGCAAATTCGTTTGATAACGGCACTCGAACTGCCTTCTGGAACGAATTATGGCCGAAACTCGGTTTTTTTTTTTTAATTATTATCACACTGGCCGATTCCCACCAAGGCAGGGTGGCCCGAAAAAGAAAAACTTTCACCATCATTCACTCCATCACTGTCTTGCCAGAAGGGTGCTTTACACTACAGTTTTTAAACTGCAACATTAACACCCCTCCTTCAGAGTGCAGGCACTGTACTTCCCATCTCCAGGACTCAAGTCCGGCCTGCCGGTTTCCCTGAACCCCTTCATAAATGTTACTTTGCTCACACTCCAACAGCACGTCAAGTATTAAAAACCATTTGTCTCCATTCACTCATATCAAACAAGCTCACGCATGCCTGCTGGAAGTCCAAGCCCCTCGCACACAAAACCTCCTTTACCCCCTCCCTCCAACCGTTCCTAGGCCGACCCCTACCCCGCCTTCCTTCCACTACAGACTGATACACTCTTGAAGTCATTCTGTCTCGCTCCATTCTCTCTACATGTCCGAACCACCTCAACAACCCTTCCTCAGCCCTCTGGACAACAGTTTTGGTAATCCCGCACCTCCTCCTAACTTCCAAACTACGAATTCTCTGCATTATATTCACACCACACATTGCCCTCAGACATGACATCTCCACTGCCTCCAGCCTTCTCCTCGCTGCAACATTCATCACCCATGCTTCACACCCTCTTTGCCTCCAAGGACAAAGTTCTTTGACTCAAGAAATCGTAATGACACGATTGCAAACAAACCATACCCCCGGCCGGGATTGAACCCGCGGTCAAAGTCTCAAAACTCCAGCCCGTCGCGTTAGCCCGTCACGGCCATGCTAGCTGGAGATTCGTCTGTAAAAACTTGAATTTGTGGTCACAGAGGTGCCTGTGCTAACCTTCCTATGGTGTAGAAATATACCTAGTTGGATGAATCTTATTGTGGCTAGCTGGTCTAGTGGCTAACGCGACGGGCTGGAGTTTTGAGACTATGACCGCGGGTTCAATCCCGGCCGGGGGTATGGCAAAGTTCTTTGTCTCCACAGACTCCTAAGTGCACCTCTCACCCTTTTCCCCTCATCAATTCTATGATTCACCTCATCTTTCATAGACCCATCCGCTGACACGTCCACTCCCAAATATCTGAATATATTCACCTCCTCCATACTCTCTCCCTCCAATCTGGTATCCAATTTTTCATCACCTAATCTTTTTGTTATCCTCATAACCTTACTCTTTCCTGTATTCACTTTTAATTTTCTTCTTTTGCATACCCTACAAAATTCATCCACCAATCTCTGCAACTTCTCTTCAGAATCTCCCAAGAGCACAGTGTCATCAGCAAAGAGCAACTGTGACAACTCCCACTTTGTGTGATTCTTTATCTTTTAACTCCACGCCTCTTGCCAATACCCTCGCATTTACTTATCTTACAACCCCATCTATAAATATATTAAACAACCATGGTGACACCACACATCCTTGTCTGAGGCCTACTTTTACTGGGAAATAATTTCCCTCTTTCCTACATACTCTAACTTGAGCCTCACTATCCTCGTAAAAACTCTTCACTGCTTTCAGTAACCTACCTCCTACACCATACACCTGCAACATCTGCCACATTGCCCCCCTATCCACCCTGTCATATGCCTTTTCCAAATCCATAAATGCCACAAAGACCTCTTTAGCCTTATCTAAATACTGTTCACTTATGTGTTTCACTGTAAACACCTGGTCCACACACCCCCTACCTTTCCTAAAGCCTCCTTGTTCATCTGCTATCCTATTCTCCGTCTTACTCTTAATTCTTTCAATAATAACTCTACCATACACTTTACCAGGTATACTCAACAGACTTATTCCCCTATAATTTTTGCACTCTCTTTTGTCCCCTTTGCCTTTATACAAAGGAACTATGCGTGCTCTCTGCCAATCCCTAGGTACCTTACCTTCTTCCATACATTTATTAAATAATTGCACCAACCACTCCAAAACTACATCCCCACCTGCTTTTAACATTTCTATCTTTATCCCATCAATCCCAGCTGCCTTACCCCCCTTTCATTTTACCTACTGCCTCACGAACTTCCCCCACACTCACAACTGGCTCTTCCTCACACCTACAAGATGTTATTCCTCCTTGCCCTATACACGAAATCACAGCTTCCCTATCTTCATCAACGTTTAACAATTCCTCGAAATATTCCCTCCATCTTCCCAATACCTCTAACTCTCCATTTAATAACTCTCCTCTCCTATTTTTAACTGACAAATCCATTTTTTCTCTAGGCTTCCTTAACTTGTTAATCTCACTCCAAAACTTTTTCTTATTTTCAACAAAATTTGTTGATAACATCTCACCCACTCTCTCATTTGCTCTCTTTTTACATTGCTTCACCACACTCTTAACCTCTCTCTTTTTCTCCATATACTCTTCCCTCCTTGGATCACTTCTACTTTGTAAAAACTTCTCATATGCTAACTTTTTCTCCCTTACTACTCTCTTTACATCATCATTCCACCAATCGCTCCTCTTCCCTCCCGCACCCCCTTCCTGTAACCACAAACTTCTGCTGAACACTCCAACACTACATTTTTAAACCTGCCCCATACCTCTTCGATCCCATTGCCTATGCTCTCATTAGCCCATCTATCCTCCAATAGCTATTTATATCTTACCCTAACTGCCTCCTCTTTTAGTTTATATACCTTCACCTCTCTCTTCCCTGATGCTTCTATTCTCGTTGTATCCCATCTACCTTTTACTCTCAGTGTAGCTACAACTAGAAAGTGATCTGATATATCTGTGGCCCCTCTCGGGGTACCACTGTAATTATGTACAACCCATTCTAGTGTATATAGAAAACAGTGAAAATTCATACTAAAATGTTTCTCATGGTGGCATTTTTATCATAAAAATTAGGCAATCGTCAGTTATTTGCACTAAAAACAAAGAATTAACAGGGTAAATTTGTATAGGCCTACCTAAAGACTTGTCTGTTGTGGACAGTGCATCATAGTTATATATCTTTTAAATATGTATATATCTTGTGCAGGTTTTCTCTTCCCTGCTGGAACACCTGAGGAGGATAAGAGAGTATGTCCTGGCGAAAGGAAGTTGTTCTGCAAAGACTATGTAAATAATGCTGAAATTATGTTTATTTTGGCATCAGTTTCAGCATTCTTGGTTATTCTCTCTCTGGTGAGTATCATTTTGTTTGCTGATTTATAATGCATGAACATTAACTCAAATTATGAGTAAATTGTACCTGTATATTATTCAAGTATTAAAAGACGTATTCAGTTCCATTAATGTCGTTACACTTAACTATCCAGTTTCATCCCTGAATGACCCATTGCAATTTTTTTTTTTTTCAGTATAATAGTCATATCCAGTTTCATGAATGAGCATTTGTTTATTCTTTTCCAGGTGCACTATCTGATGTGTCTAGCTGCAAATTATGCACATATAAAGGATCAAGAGAAATTTATGGACCTTCAGGAAATTCAGTTCCTTCACGAGTCGGAAATGTCAACACTTCCCAAAGATCGCTTCTAGGATACTGCCCAAGGGATTTTTTGGCGCAACAACCAGCATAGTCGATACTTTCAAACAGTTGCCTGATTAGACTGCAAATAAAAAAAAAGCCTGGAGAGTTCAGTCACAAAAGTACATACTTTATATTAACTTTAGAGAAATCCTTTTCCATTGATTTTGTTGAACTATTACTAATATAAATGGTTATTATTCTTCAAAGAGACTAAAGGTATTCATGAACTCTCCAGAGACAAATTTGCCTTCTCAGCTGGCTGGGAGTTTGTTGGCCTCATTAAGAAAGCCAATAACAAGTATGAGTTTCTAGTGCTCAAGGGCAAACCTTATGCACATGGAAGTGCATTGGTTGGTTGTATGATGAGTGCCTGCATACTTATAAGCATTTTCTTAAATGAGGCTGGGTATCTTCAATCATGAGGCAACTTGAAAACAGTAACTGGCCTTCTTGCTATACTAATAAAGACTGGGGACCACTCAAGATAGAGACCTTGTTAATATTTTTACTGCTCAATATCCATCTAACATAGTTATTGGAGGTGCCATTACTTTATCAGCCTCTGGTTGAAGACATTTGAGGTTAAGGGCAGAAAGGTAGTTTGCTTATATTGTGCTTTTTGTTGTGTAGCTTAACTTTCCACTGCAGTAAGTTTGAAGAAATTACTAAGGTCTCAGGTGTGGGGAAACTGTATTTAATGAGGGGTAAACTATTCCAGTGAAAAGTTTTTTGTGATGTGCATTGGTACTGTCTAGCATAATTTAGTGGTTTCTTTGTAGACATTAGTTTTCTTAACATGTATTTTTGTTAATACTCAAGTCAGTTGTAAGATATAATTGTTTTACTGTTTTAGTACTATGATTTTTTTTAAATTAAAAATATCAAAATAAGATTAGCTAAGACTACAACCCTTCCTTAAACTTTAGTATTAAAAATAGCTTTATCCTGTTGTATATGGAGAGTGTCTCACTCCTTAGTTTTTTTTTTAATCAATTAATGATACTAATTTTCTTAATTGAACTAACTTGCATAGATATTTATTTTTAACTGCAAAGCCTTGATAGCAGCCACTGCTTATTGTTGACTAATCATTACTAACCCTAAAATAAAAAAAAAATGCAGATTGATCTCCCTGCCCTTTCTAGCCTCATGTGTATGCTTCAAAGGATCCCTTGGGTAAATTTTACATGTGGATTACAATAGATCTCTTGGGCCTACTGTAGTCCAGTGGAAAAATTTACAATAGCCATTAAACTAAGGATTGACAATCTTCATTGAATATTGTGTAAAATTGTTAAAGTTGTAATTAACTGTTATGTTTTCCATAGTTATCCACTTATGTGTTTTGTACCTTTTTTGAGAACATAAGGATAATGTTGAGGTGGCTGAGGTACAATTCCTCAGGGTATGTAGAGTATTTAAATCATTGATAGCCCATCTAGTTTGCTACTTGTAGTTATTCCTGTATCCTTCCCTAGCCTTAGCCTACCAACAGCTCAACTGTTCACTGTGAAGCTGTTATTAACAAGAAGCAACATATCATCTTTTCTGTTATAACAAGTAGTATGCATACTTGAGATGTATTATTCAGCAAGTGTGGAAAAACATTGTTACATTTACATTGCTATACTTTGTAGTAACATTAATATTCTAAAAACATTTCCCATGATGGGGTAAGCTCTTGCTCATCAAACTAATACCTGGTTCCTATTTTCAGTTAGTTATGTTCCACTCTTGCTGAATATTCATAAACTTGGCCTAGGATAATAAACCTCTCACATTTGTATGGAAGGATGCTATATCTGATTAACAATGCATCAGTATTTATCCTGGTGCTGTTGTGTGCATGTTATGTTGTGAAGAGTTCCTAAGTGGAAATATTTTGTAGCTTGAAATGAAATGCAGTATATAAATTTTTTTTGCTTAATATTGTATTGTACTGAGGAAATACCCTACATAACTATTTGCTATTGATTCAATATTCAACATACTTTTTATGTTTATATGATGATGACTGAATCCAGTTAATGTGCCCTTATTCAGTGCATGCCTTTAAATACTAAAGATCCTAATTCTTTAGTCATTGTGCAAGAGTGGCACCTCTGCAGTCACAGTAATCTGATTTTTTTGTGTGTATATTTTGTATGAAGAATATGATATCTAACATATTCTGTTGTAAAAAAAAAAATAAAATTTTATACAATAAAGGTTTATAATCAGTATCCTCACAAGATATTCAGCATTTTACTGCAGAACTGTGGATTTTAAGGCCATGTCTGTTATGTACAGTAGAGATCATAATTATGCACATGCATGAACAAACATATCACACAAAAAATGAGACCACCATATTTTAAATTATTATTATAATCAAAAAGAAGTGCTAAGCCACAAGGGCTATACAGCACCATATTTTAAATATATACTGAAATATGTACGTGTTCCTCACCTAAACTCCCCACTACCCTTACTGACTCTGCCTCTTGCATACTCCTCAGCCCTGTTGGTTTGATCTTTGCCTATTTCATCTATAGCCCATCCTGCCTTGAAAGTGCTGTATGACCCTTGTAGATTTAGTGCTAGAGGCATACTTATGGTCATACATATTTATGATGCCTACTTTACATACAGTATTTTCTGCAAAGTTAATTCGCATATGCAACAAAATGAATATATAGCCTCTCCTTGCTTAGCGATGTACTCATTTACCAACGACTCGGACTTGCAATGGGCTCTGACCAGTATGCATACCTAAATAATTTAAATTAAGCTGATTTCCTCTATTCTGTTTATTCCAATATACAGTACACTATAAGCATTTAATTTAAAAATATACTGAAAATGTTATAAATGGTGTAAAGGCGACATTAAAATAATATCGAAGATGGTTGACACAAACCCACTACCATTATAGTATGCTCCTTGCTTAGCAACGAATTCGTTTACCAATGTGGTCTTAGGGACAGAACTCCGTTGTTAAGTAAGGAGAGGATGTACAATACAGGTTCAATTAAACAGCAAAGATCCACATAGACCTTTTATACATCTGCATGTAAATCCTGGTATACACACACACACACACTACAAAATTGTTATAATCAAAAGCACACACTACAAAAATAATTTGTAGTCTTACTTTCAGCGGAAAGATGCACTGTGTGTGATGAAGATGTGACATGCTATAAGAGCTGTACACAGTGTAGGTGTTGCACAGGCAGCCAAGAGGCCAAAGCCAAGTGGACGAGAACCAAGCAAAATTGCCAGCATTTGGGGTAAGAGTGGTCTGTAAATACAGCCTGCAATCAACACAGCTACAATGGGTCGAACTGCTGCTGCCAAATCACTTCGCCACCAGAGCCAGACAAGCAGTGCCATATTTAAGTGATGTACCTGTTAATGAAAAAGCTACATTAGTGTGATAAAATTAGCATGCTTAAGTCACAAACCACCTAACACTTGCTTGTTACTATCTCGCAAATACAAAGTACAGTGGACCCCCGGTTAATGATATTTTTTCACTCCAGAAGCATGTTCAGGTGCCAGTACTGACCGAATTTGTTCCCATAAGAAATATTGTGAAGTAGATTAGTCCATTTCAGACCCCCAAACATACACGTACAAACGCACTTACATAAATACACTTACATAATTGGTCGCATTCGGAGGTAATCGTTATGCGGGGGTCCACTGTACATTGTGGTTATTTACACGCTATGTGAGAAAAACTGATGTAGATTCACTTCCAATGTCTACACTGCCAACACACTAAATAACCTTGTTGTAAGTCCCAGTTTTATGCATATACACTTAAGCTTTCAACAGAAAGTAATCTGTTTTACCATGGTATAAATTTTTACTCTTGCACTCTTCCCTACCACCTACCTATACCCTAGCATACCCGTGCCCCTCACTCCAAGACTTCGCACAGTCCTACTTTCGCATGTTTACCTGTAGTGCTGTGACCCATACAGGTTTAGTGCTTATATTTACTATTAATATTCCATTCACGGGAAAGTGCTAAACCCACAGAGGAGTCATATAGCACCTGGAAAAAATAGGAGGAATTCGGGTTAAATTGAAAGAATGTGAAAGCAGGTCGAGTTTCTTTGATCAAAAGCACCTCACTGAGAGGTGATCTTTACTAAATGTATGAGAATACTTACATGCCCTATCCTAGTACAGTGGAACCTCGTTTTTCGGCTGTTATCTGTTCCAGATGGCTGGCCTAAATTCGAAACGGCCTAAATTTTAGGCAATATTTCCCTTAAGAATTAATGTAAAGACAATTAATCCATCCCAGACACCCAAAACTATTAACAGAAAATACATTTTTTTTTAAAGATTAATTATAGTTTTACATACACAAAACAATGAGAACTAAATAAATTAAATAAATGAACATTTAAATCACTATTATATACCTTTATTGAAGACTCTTGTTGGCTTATGGAGAGAAGGGACTGATTATTGTTTGGAAGGGGAATCCCCCTCCATAAGGACTTCAGGTATCAAAGCCCTCTCTGGGGTTACTTCCCTGCCTGCCTGCTACACTTCCTGCCTTCCTTCCACACTCCCTGTTTCCCCTGCTACACTCCCTCCCTCCCTTCCACACTCCCTGTTTCCCTGCCACACTCCCTGCCTCCCTTCTATACTCCCTGGTTCCATGCTACACTCCCTGCCTGCCTGCTACACTCCCTGCCCATGGTGGCTTATTTCACAGTCGCACTTAACCTTTTGAGGGTTTCTGCCGTACTAGTACGGCTTACGACCCAGGGTTTTTGACGTACTAGTACGCCTAAATTCTAGCGCCCTCAAATCTAGTGGGAGAAAGCTGGTAGGCCTACATATGAAAGAATGGGTCTATGTGGTCAGTGTGCACAGTATAAAAAAAAATCCTGCAGCACACAGTGCATAATGAGAGAAAAAAAAAAAATTTGACCGTTTTTTTTGGAATAAAACAGCGACTTTGCACTGTATTTTCGTATGGTATTTATTGTTGTATTCTAGTTTTCTTGGTCTCATTTTATAGAATGGAAGACATATTACAGAAATTGGGATGATTTTGACTGGTTTTACAATGAAAAGTACCTTGAAATTGAGCTCTAAGTAGCAGAAATGTTTGATTTTTACCAAAGTACAAAAGTAAACAAATCATGCCAAGTGTCCAATACACGTCAACTGGTGAGTCTAATATTCTTTTGCAAGTGCTCCATTATTATTTATACCATTTTTTACACTAATGCAGTAGTTTGCATAACAGTAAATCTTCTATTTTTTGTGAGAATAAAATTCGAAGTGGAAAGCAAACCAATGTAAGAGGGGCCTTGAGACGTGACTAATGAACAGAGGAAATGTCATTTTAGTGCCAGGAATGTCTTTCTTGTTTATTCTGGACCCTATTCAGAAATTGGCATCTTTTGAAATTTGTGTGAAATTGGCAAAATTGCTAAATTCTGACCACTGTACTGGATAGTTGAAATTGGTAAATGGGTGGTTTTTTGCACTCATTCGATGGAGTTCTAGCGAAATATTCATGTTTTTTGTCGACTAGTACAGTGGAATTGGCCGAAAATGGGGCTCAAAGTGGGCAAAATCGCCGAGACCGCTAACTTCGCGAGAGCATAATTCCGCAAGTTTTCCATCAAATTTCATACTTTTGGTGTCATTATGATTGGGAAAAGATTCTCTATCTTTTCATAAGAATTTTTTTTTTTTTTTTTAAATTTGGCCGACCCTGAGAACGAGTCTCGGAGAGGGCCTGTCGACCCTCAAAGGGTTAATAAGCAAGCCACATCAGCTTCCTTGATTTGTTCTTTCTTTGCCAGGATAGAAGTGATTATTAATTTGTTTTTGCCATACATCCTGGCAAGTTCCAACACCTGAACACCACTCTCATATTTTTCTATTACAGTGGTCCCTCGCTTTTCGTAGTTCTCGGCAATCATAAATTTCGCCAATCAGAGGGGTATTTTCGTATAAACATGGACTCGCTTTTCATAGGTTGACTCGCGAATCGTAGTTCGTCTGGGACGCGAACCCACGGCGTGAGCCGTGGCGTCAGCCAGTCTGGCATTGTTTACCAGTGAGCGAAAGTCCCCTCACATGCTCCAGCGAAATATTTCATAATATTCCATTTATTTTAGTGCTTGCAAGTACTAAATAACTACCATGGCTCCAAAGAAAGCTCCTAGTGCCAAGCCTGTGGTAAAGAAGGTGAGAAATACGATTGAAAATTGTGGCCAGATTGTGTCGACAAGAGGGATTTTGAAGAGTTTGGGACTGACCCTGATGAGCCTATGTCTGTTGTAAAATCAATTGTGGCACTGGGGAGTTCCATGGGGTTGGATGTGAGTTTGGAGGATATGGAAGAATTGGTGGAAGACCACAACGAAGAGCTCACCACTGAGGAGCTGCAAGAGCTTCAGCAGGAAGAGCAACAGATCGCAGCTCAGAATCTTGCTGCAGAGGAGGAGGAAGAGAGATGGAAGAAGGTGCCTTCTTCAGAAATTAGAGAGATTTTTACTATGTGGGGTAAGATAGAAAGCTTTATGCAGAAACATCACCCTAACAAGGTTGTTGCAAGCCATGTTGGCAACATGTACAGTGACAAAGTCTTGGGCCATTTTAGAGAAGTGTTAAAGAGATGCCAGAAACAGAGCTCTCTCCACAGTTAATTTGCGAGACAGGACTCCAGTGACTCTCAAGGTGGTCCTAGTGGCATTAAGAAACAGAGAAGACAAGCAACCCCAGAAAAGCAATTGGTACCCGAGGTGTTGCTGGAAGGGGATTCCCCTTCCAAACTACAAACAATCCACTCTCCTCCTCCAGTCTCCCATACACTAAGAAGAATCTCCAATAAAGGTAAGTGTTATGCTGTTAATGTTTCATTCATCATTTCCCATTGTATTGTTTATGTACTACATGTATACTTCATGTAAAAAAAATTTTTTGTTTTAATACTTCTGGGTGTCAGGAACGGATTAATTGTATTTACATTATTTCTTATGGGGAAAATTGATTCGCAAATCGTAAATTTCGTTTATAGTAGCTCCTCCAGGAACAGATTAATTACGAAAAACGAGGGACCACTGTACTTCCTTCTTAAATTCCATCATGTTTCTCACTTTCTTTACCAAAGGAACTTTACTAGGAACTTTCTTGGGGTCCATGGTGACTTATTTCACAGTCACACTTAATAAAAAAACACCAAACAGATTATCCTGAACACCTTCATACAAGGTGCTATCAAAAAGTTCCCATATTTGAATTTTCACATGATTCCTGAGTGAAATATGGCAGTGGCATAGGCACTCCTTTGTGAAGCAGCATGGCAAGTTTCAGTGTGGTCAGTCATTCTGTTGAGGTTAGACGGGCATTTCTTGTCTTGTTGTCAGCATGTTATTGCATTTTTTTTGTGTGTACCAGAATGGAATCTTTAAAAGAAATGGTGTGTGAAATCCTGTTTCAAGCTTGGAAAAATGGCTGGAAACGTCTTGTAGGAGCGAGGAGGAGCAAGTTGTGAGTGTGGGGGAAGTTCGTGAGGCAGTAGGTAGAATGAAAAGGGGTAAGGCAGCTGGGATTGATGGGAGAAATGTTAAAAACAGGTGGGGATATAGTTTTGGAGTGGTTGGTACTTTTATTTAATAAATATATGGAAGAGGGTCAAGTACCTAGGGATTGGCAGAGAGCATGCATAGTTCCTTTGTATAAAGGCAATGGGGACAAAAGAGAGTGCAAAAATTATAGAAGTCTGTTGAGTATACCTGGTAAAGTGTATGGTAGAGTTATTATTGAAAGAATTAAGAGTAAGATGGAGAGTAGGATAACAGATGAACAAGGAGGCTTTAGGAAGGGTAGGGGGGTGTGTAGACCAAATGTTTACAGTGAAACATAGGTAAACAGTATTTAGATATGGGTAAAGAGGTTTTTGTAGCATTTATGGATTTGAAAAAGGCCTAGGCCAGGGTAGATAGAGGGGCAATATGGCAGACGTTACAAATGTATAGAATAGGTAGGTTAGTCATTGAAAGCAGTGAAAAGTTATTACGAGGATAGTGAGGCTCAGGTTAGAATATGTAGGAGAGAGGGAGATTATTTTCCAGTAAAAGGCCTTAGATAAGAATGTACGATGTCATCATGGTTGTTCAATATATTTATAGATGGGGTGTTGGCAAGAGGTGTGGGGTTCAAAGATTAAGAATATAACACAAAGTGGGAGCTGTCACAGTTGCTCTTTGCTGATGACACTGCTTTTGGGAGATTCTGAAAAGAAGTTGCAGAGGTTGATGGATGAGTTTGGTAGGGTATGTAAAAGAAGAAAATTAAAAGTGAATATAGGAAAGAATAAGGTGATGAGGATAACAAAAAAATTAGGTAATAAAAGATAGGATCTCAGATTGGAAGGAGAATATTGAGAAGGTGAATGAATGTATTCAGATATTTAGGAGTGGACGTGTCAGCAGATGGGGCTATGAAAGATGAGATGAATCGTAGAACTGATGTAGGGAAAAAGGTGAATGGTGCACTGAGGAGTTCGTGGAGACAAAGAACTTTGTCCATGGAAGCAAAGAGGGGAATGTATGAAAGTATAGTTATACCAACGCTCTTAAATGGGTGTGAAGCATGGGTGGTGAATGCTGCAACAAGAAGGTTGGAGGCAGTGGAGATGTTGTGTCTAAGGGCAATGTGTGGTGTGAATATAATGCAGAAAATTCGTAGTTTGGAAATTAGGGGGAGGTGCAGAACTGCCAAAACTATTATCCAGAGGGCTGAGGAGCGGTTGTTGAGATGGTTCAGACATGTAGACAGGTTGGAACAAAATAGAATGACTTCGAGAGTGTATAAATCTGTAGTGGAGGGAAGGCGGGGTAGAGGTTGGCCTAAGAAAGGCTGGAGGGAGGGGGTAAAGGTGGTTTTGTGTGTGAGGGGCTTGGACTTCCGCAAGCATGTGTGAGCATGCTAGGTAGGAGCGAATGGAGACCAATGCTTTTTAGGACTTGACGTGCTGCTGGAGTGTGAGCAGGGTAGTATTCATGGATTCTGGGAAACCGGCAGGCTAGACTTGATTCCTGGAGATGGGATGTACAGTGCCTGCACTCTGAGGGAGGGGTGTTAATGTTGCAGTTTTATAACTGTAGCGTAAGTGCGCCTCTGGCAAGACAGTGATGGAGTGAATGATGGTGATAGTTTTTCTTTTTTGGGCCCCCCTACATTGGTGGGAAATGGCCGATGTGTTAATATAATAAATAAAATGACTAGTGAAACAAAATGCTTCACCAGTAACAACTGGTGACAGAGCAATGGGTTGGACACATTGTTTTGAATAGTTTTCTTGATTCAAAGCTGGACGAACATCAGTTGAGGATGATGATGCCCTGGCCGTCCTGCAATGTTAAAAACAGATGCCAACATTGAAAAAGTGAGGAGGGCTATTCATGAAGACTTATCAGAGAATCCAGGATATTGGAGATACTACAAGAATTTCTTATGGGTTGTTTCAGAGCATTTTGACTGAAAATTTGAGCATGAGGTGAGTAGCTGCAAAATTTGTGCCCCACTTGCTGACTCAGACCAGAGAGACCATTGATTTTTGGTCAAAAACATGGTGGTCATTTCCCCACCCTCCCTACTTCCTAGATCTGCAACTTTTCTCATCCCAAAAATAAAAATGACATTCAAGGGGTGGCATTTTAAAAACAAGGAGATTCAAGCAGAATTGCAGGCCACACTAGACACCATTAGGAGAGAAGAGTTCCAGAAATGTTGAAGCTGCCGGAGGAGGCAGCTTCAACTTGGTGATTAGATATGCCTATATATTTTTTCATGGTAGCCCAGGAACTTTTTGGTAGCATCTCGTAAATGGTACCTTGCTCACCCTCCAATGGCATGTGAAGCCATAAAAACCACTTGTCTTCAAATATGTTAAAGAACCATGGTGACATCACATATCCATAAGGCCTAATTTTAACCCTTTCAGGGTTGGTGCCGTACTAGTACGGCTTGCACACCAGGGTTGGTGCCGTACTAGTACGGCTTGCACAGGAAGGTTGGTGCCGTACTAGAACGCATAAATTCTAGTGCCTTCAAATCTAGTGAGAGAAAGCTGGTAGGCCTACATATGAAAGAATGGGTCTATATGGTCAGTGTGCACAGTATAAAAAAATCCTGCAGGACACAGTGCATAACGAGAAAAAAAAAACTCCGACCGTGTTTTTGGTTTAAAACAGCAATTTTGGTTGTATTCTAGCTTTCCTGGTCTCATTTTACAGAATGGAAGACATATTACAGAAATTGAGACAATTTTGATTGGTTTCACAATGAAAAGTACCTTGATATTGAGCTCAAAGCAACAGAAACATTCGATTTTTGCCAAAGTTCAAAAGTAAACAAATCATGCCATGCGTCCAATACACATCAACTGGCGAGTCTGATATTCTTTCACAAGTGCGCTGATATTATTTATACCATTTCTACACTAATGCAGTAGTCTTCATAACAGCAAATCTTCTGTTTTTTTGTGAGAATAAAAATTCAAAGTGGAAAGCAAAAGAAATGTAAGAGGGGCCTGGGGATGTGACTAATGAACAGAGAAAATGTTATTTTAGTGCCAGGAACGTCTGTCTTGTTTATTCTGGACCCTATCTGGAAATTGGCATTTTTTGAAATTTGTGTGAAATTGGCAAAATTGCCAATTTCTGACCACCTTACTGGATAGTTGAAACTGGTAAATGGGTAGTTTTTTGTAATCATTTGATAGAAAAAGTGGAGTTCTAGTGAAATAGTTATAATTTTTGTCGACTGGTACATTGGAATTGGCCGAAAATAGGGCTTAAAGTGGGTGAAATCGCCGATGGGTATGATCGGAAAAAGATTATTTCATAAGAAAAAATAATTTTTTTTCTTTTGAAAAATTTTCAACCCTGAGAACAAGTTTAGGAGAGGGCCTCTTGACCCTCAAAGGGTTAATGAGAAATAATCCCCCCCACCTCCAACATACCTTCACCTGTGCCTCACTATCCACATAAAAAAATTTCTATTCCATACATTTTTAATATCTGCCACTCTGCTCCCCTATCCACCCAATCATATGCATTTTCTAAATCCATTAATGGTACAGTTCCTTACCTTTACCTAAGCATTGTTCAGTTATATGCTTCAATGTAAACACTTGTCTATACATCCCCTACCCTTCCTAAATCATCCTTGTTCCTCTGCAGGCCAACTTTCTATCTTACCCTTATCTCTCTCTCTCTCTCTCTTTATATAATAATTCTTCCATACACTAAGTGGCATACTTGACAGATTTATTCTCCTATATGTAATTCTAAAAATTCTCACTTGTCCTTTTATAGGTGCCATCCCTTCTTTCATGTATATCATTTATAAACTCACCAGCCACCCCAAAACTATATGTCCCCACCTGCTATAAATACCTCTGTCTTAATCTATATGATGTTAACTACTAAGATAAGTAATTTAAACAACAACAATCTTTTAAACATAGAAATTTCAAGTGCCTTACCAGACTTATGTTAGCATCCAGACTGATCTGAATGTATTTCCAATCAAATTCCAAGCCACGGGCACCAACCCAAAGTGGAAGAGCCCGAGTCAGGAGGAGGTCTGCAGCAGCCCATCCTAGGCCAGTAATCAATATTTTAATGTGTCCTGCCCCTGGCACTCGACCCATTACGATGCTAAGACCCATCACATCCCCAAAGTCTACTGTTGTTTTCACCAATTCCTGAAAAAAGTGAATAAATGAGCAAAGAGTTGCATGACTGTCAGTCATTTGTCTTACAGCATTTCACTATACTGCATCAAAACATCATTTCTGTAATGTGTACTCTTTCAGTACACTTATCTTATTTCCCCAGTTTCAACAGATTCCATAATAATGTAGTATACCCAAAAGTGTTCCTGTACCTTGCTCAAAGAACTTTAGCACACTAGGCAAGCTGAACACGTGCTATTAATGGAAAGGCACACAAGGTTCTGCATATATAGTACAGCACCTCAAATGAAGAAAATGTCTATAAATACTACGTGAAAATTAAAGCCCTGATACAAAGGAGAATTTTTTAAAGAAAAAAATCTGTATTTAAAATGTAACCAAGTAAAAAATGTAAATTCTAGTTATAAAAATGGAAAACATAAATCTCCTCTTTTAATCCTTTTTTGATTGCATAAAAACTATTAAAACAATAATATTACCGTTGCCAAGCTTGCAGTTTCAGGTGGGCCATCTGATGTTGGAAAGAATGTTGCAAGTAGGAGCATCTTGCAAAGTTGTGTGAGCATGTACATGCCACCAACTTGTGCACACTTCCAGAATCCTCCATACTCTGGCCTGAAAAAAGGGTATCTCTAATAGTCATCAACCTAAGGAAATAATGTTAATGTAATTAAGACTTGGGTATATACTAGGGATGGGATGATACCAAAAGTTTTGCTAATACTGATACTCAATTTTAGGACAATACTGATGCAATCAAACTTAGCCAATACCCACTGATACTTTTACACATGGCATACCCCTAGTACCGTATATACAAATAGTACACCATATTTTGCATTAATTTATAATAAGGCACTTTCTCGCCATATAATACTGTATTACAATCAGAACTTAAAATATATATATACACAGGGGTTCCTCGACTTACAATGGTTTGACTTGCAATATTTCAAAAGAAATTAGTTTAGAGAGGAAACTTAATTACCCACCATGAAGGTGGCAAGTCTGTAACTTGTATTCAGTGACAGTAGTTAATATATTTATTTATTTATTTAGCATATCACATTCATGTCAGACTTATGATGTTTTTAACTTATGATGAGTTGGTCGGAATGTAATCCCATCATAAACTGAGGAGCACCTGTGTAAGTATATAATTTTAAAAGATTTTCATTACTGAGGATCTGGCAAATGCTGAGCACAAAATGATCAAAATCTATCTATCATTATAAGTGAAAATCATCAAAGCACCTCATTATATGAACACAAAACTTAGTGAAGATTGAGACACTTATGCAGCATATGGGAATCTTTATTCAGGAAACGTTTCGCCACAGTGGCTTCATCAGTCCATGAAGAACCATGTTGTAAATCTTGCAAACAAGGCAGCCAGGAAGCTTACAGCACTTCGCCGTATCTCGCATCTGCTTGACAGTAGGGGTTGCAAGATCCTGTACGAGGCACAAGTACGCTCACACCTTGAGTATGCTCCACTTTCTTGGTTTGCCTGCCCCCCCCTCTCATCTGCGACTGCTTGACAGAGTAGAGAACAGAGCAAGACATCTCATCTCTCGCCTGGACCCATCCTGGATAGATCTGTCATTTCAGCAGAGCCTTCAACATAGGAGGGATGTGGGTGCCCTTACTGTTATGTACAAGGCCAATATTGTCAAAATACCACACTTGGATCCACTTCGAGGACAGCGTGAACAAGCTTTTATGCCACAAGACAGGCAGAAAGCAGCAACTTCACTCTGGCAGGAGAAAGCTGGTAGGCCCACATGTGAGAGAATGGGTCTTTGTGGTCAGTGTGCACCATATAAAAAAAATCCTGGAGCACGCAGTACATAATGAGAAAAAAAAAACTCTGACCGCTTTTTTTAATTAAAATGCCGACTTTGTGGTCTATTTTCGTATAGTATTTATGATTGTATTCTCGTTTTCTTGGTCTCATTTGATAGAATGGAAAACATATTATAGAAATAGAGGTGATTTTGATTGATTTTACTATAAAAAACCTAGAAATGGAGCTCAAAATAGGGGAAATGTTTGATTTTTGCCAATGTTCAAAAGTAAACAATTGATGCCATTGTCCAATAAATGTCCAACTAGCCATTCTAATATGCAGTCATGAATGGGTTGATGTTATTTATACAATTATTACAGTATTGCAGTAGTCTGCATAATAGTAAGTCTTCTATTTTTTGTTTGAATAAAAATTGAAAATAGAAACCAAGAGTAATATCAGAGGGGTCTTGAGACATGACTGATGAACAAAGAAAATTTTATTTTAGAGCCGGGAATGTCTGCATTGTTCATTCTGGACCTTATTTTGAAATTGCCATATTTTTTAGTTTTCGTGAAATTGGCCAAATTGCAAATTTCTGACCACATTATTAGGTAGTTGAAATCGGTAAATGGGCAATTTCTTGTACTCTATCGATAGAAAAAATGGAGTTCTAAAGAAATAGCTATGAGTTTGGGCGACTGGAACAAAGAAATTAGCCGAAAATTGGGCTCAAAGTGGGCGAAATCGCCGATTTGTAGACAGCGCCGAGGTCGCTAACTTCGCGAGAGCATAATTCCGTCAGTCTTCCATCAAATTTTGTTTTTTTTTGGTGTCGTTACAATCGGGAAAAGATTCTCTATCATTTCATAAGAAAAAATAATTTTTTTTTTTTTTAAATTTTGCGACACCAGGAGACACCTCAGGATTGGGGGTTGCGACAGTCAAAGGGTTAATTTGATTTCCATTATTTCTTATGGGGAAAATTAATTCGACTCTCGATATTTTCGACATTCGATAGCTCTCAGGAACGGATTAGTATCGAATGTCGAGGGTCCACTGTATATTAGAGCTGATTTCCTCTATTCTGTTTATTAATATATACAGTATACTACTGTATAAACATTTAAAAATATACTAGAAATGTTATAAATGGTGCAAAGGTGACATTAAAACACTATCAAAGATGGCTGACATAAATCCATTATAGTATGCTCCTCACTTAGTGACAAATTCGTTTACCAATGAGGTCTTAGGAAAGGAACTCTGTTAAGTGAGGGGATGCTGTGCTTTATTAACAATAAAAATTAATAAATAATATCTGTAACAATAAAAATACTACTACTAATAATAATAATAGAAATAATAATAATATTTATTTATTATTTATTATCACACTGGCCGATTCCCACCAAGGCAGGGTGGCCCGAAAAAGAAAAACTTTCACCATCATTCACTCCATCACTGTCTTGCCAGAAGGGTGCTTTACACTACAGTTTTTAAACTGCAACATTAACACCCCTCCTTCAGAGTGCAGGCACTGTACTTCCCATCTCCAGGACTCAAGTCCGGCCTGCCGGTTTCCCTGAACCCCTTCAATAAATGTTACTTTGCTCACACTCCAACAGCACGTCAAGTATTAAAAACCATTTGTCTCCATTCACTCCTATCAAACACGCTCACGCATGCCTGCTGGAAGTCCAAGCCCCTCGCACACAAAACCTCCTTTACCCCCTCTCTCCAACCTTTCCTAGGCCGACCCCTACCCCGCCTTCCTTCCACTACAGACTGATACACTCTTGAAGTCATTCTGTTTCGCTCCATTCTCTCTACATGTCCGAACCACCCCAACAACCCTTCCTCAGCCCTCTGGACAACAGTTTTGGTAATCCCGCACCTCCTCCTAACTTCCAAACTACGAATTCTCTGCATTATATTCACACCACACATTGCCCTCAGACATGACATCTCCACTGCCTCCAGCCTTCTCCTCGCTGCAACATTCATCACCCATGCTTCACACCCATATAAGAGCGTTGGTAAAACTATACTCTCATACATTCCCCTCTTTGCCTCCAAGGACAAAGTTCTTTGTCTCCACAGACTCCTAAGTGCACCACTCACTCTTTTCCCCTCATCAATTCTATGATTCACCTCATCTTTCATAGACCCATCCGCTGACACGTCCACTCCCAAATATCTGAATACATTCACCTCCTCCATACTCTCTCCCTCCAATCTGATATTCAATCTTTCATCACCTAATCTTTTTGTTATCCTCATAACCTTACTCTTTCCTGTATTCACCTTCAATTTTCTTCTTTTGCACACCCTACCAAATTCATCCACCAATCTCTGCAACTTCTCTTCAGAATCTCCCAAGAGCACAGTGTCATCAGCAAAGAGCAGCTGTGACAACTCTCACTTTGTGTGTGATTCTTTATCTTTTAACTCCACGCCTCTTGCCAAGACCCTCGCATTTACTTCTCTTACAACCCCATCTATAAATATATTAAACAACCACGGTGACATCACACATCCTTGTCTAAGGCCTACTTTTACTGGGAAAAAAATTCCCTCTTTCCTACATACTCTAACTTGAGCCTCTAGCTTGAGTAGATCTATAACCCACTATGATAACATGAACGTAGATAAGTATGTTTATGGAGCAACTTGCAATGTGAACAGACTGACTGATGTTGTAGTGGCCAGGCTTAGGCTTGGTTACAAGTACTTCTGGCAGTTTGGGAGACACACAGATGATGATCAAACTAAATGTAAATTATGTGATCAGGCATATGGTCACTCTCTTGAACACTATGTGCTTAATTGTCCACTTATTGAGGAATACAGCGACAGACAGTATAATAACCTATGTGACATGTCAAGATATCTTATTAATGAAAATAAGATACCAGATATACTAAGCAAATTTCCTAAATTTGCTTGTAACAGATAAGTGAACTATAGATATGTAGATATAAATCCATATGTATTCCTGTTAACCCTTTGGGGTCTAGTTCCTAGGCCTTTTGTGTATCCACATGCTCTCGCGCTACCGTCCACAGGATGGATATGGGGTGCACAATAAACTAGCCACTTCGGTGGCAAAATCTAAAATCTAAATCTAACTTGAGCCTCACTATCCTCGTAAAAACTCTTCACTGCTTTCAGTAACCTACCTCCTACACCATACACTTGCAACATCTGCCACATTGCCCCCCTATCCACCCTGTCATACGCCTTTTCCAAATCCATAAATGCCACAAAGACCTCTTTAGCCTTATCTAAATACTGTTCACTTATATGTTTCACTGTAAACACCTGGTCCACACACCCCCTACCTTTCCTAAAGCCTCCTTGTTCATCTGCTATCCTATTCTCCGTCTTACTCTTAATTCTTTCAATAATAACTCTACCATACACTTTACCAGGTATACTCAGCAGACTTATCCCCCTATAATTTTTGCACTCTCTTTTATCCCCTTTGCCTTTATACAAAGGAACTATGCATGCTCTCTGCCAATCCCTAGGTACCTTACCCTCTTCCATACATTTATTAAATAATTGCACCAACCACTCCAAAACTATATCCCCACCTGCTTTTAACATTTCTATCTTTATCCCATCAATCCCGGCTGTCTTACCCCCTTTCATTTTACCTACTGCCTCACGAACTTCCCCCACACTCACAACTGGCTCTTCCTCACTCCTACAAGATGTTATTCCTCCTTGTCCTATACACGAAATCACAGCTTCCCTATCTTCATCAACATTTAACAATCTCAAAATATTCCCTCCATCTTCCCAATACCTCTAACTCTCC